TGAAATTTTCAAATTAAAGACGTGTAGACAGGACAACGTCTGTCGGGTCCGCTAGTATAAATATAAATAAATGCAAAATTTAATAAGAAGATAGCAAAGCTATGAATAATTTGTCGAAGACATTAGCAATCAGTGCTTATAAAAATAGAACGCTACAATCACACTAATGAAAATAAGCCACGGTAGTATCTTGTAAATATTCAACAGCGTTCGTGCTGAAAAAGAAACAGTAACTTGTTTGTAGAATTATTTAACATAAAAATATTTAGATAGTTAATAGGAAGCTAGTTACAGCATACGGCTTTGCCTGCATTGCAATTTTATTAAGTGTAAAACAACGAACTCGAGCAGTTTTATATTTGCATATATCGATCAATTGATTATTTTTAGGCTCAAAGGCTTACTTTACAATTTCATTATGTCCGTCTGTCCGTATGTCAATTATTTTACTTAAACATTTGGTATTATACAGCTAAAATTCAGTAGGTACGTGTCTCTGGTGCTATATATAGGGATTGCTATACGATAATATGGGATAGGGAATTACACTTTTATAGTTTTGCATATATTTATAAGCTATAAAATAAAATATCCTATTAAATGTTCTTGAGTAATATTCAAGCAAATGGACAAGCCAAATACTTACATTATTTTTAAGTAGCTTCGCTTTTAAAAAATATTTTGCCATTACAACTTATTAACCAGTAGTCTGATCATTGTACTAAATTATTTCGGTAAAGATTAGTTTTACTAACACTAACCAACTGCGTGGGAGATATTATAGTGCCAAGTGTGTAAAAAATGAAGTACAGTTCTTCCCTATTATTCCTTAATTCTTATTATCCGACAGGATGACTATTTAACATGACTCCTATTCATGCATGCTACTGTTTCATGACAGAAAATTTTCAGCTATTTCGACCTGACCCGGGACTCGAATTCAAAGCCTCACGATCCGCAACTGTAAATGCAAGCCACTAGACTAACAAGGCATTCAGATTATATTTATACATTTTTAAGGATATGCCATGTAACCTAGGGCTGATGTCAATCCCTTATATATTTTTAGATTAATACATTTTTTAACGGTTTTTAAATGACATCTTGTTTACGCGCCATAATATGAATTTATATAAATTGTAAAAAGCGGTCACTATCGGGATCCAACACAAATAAAACACTCACTAGTACTGTAACACTAACCACTGTATTAATCTCGTTTTAAAACAAACTCAAAAACAATATTCTATTGACTCGGGTCATAAAATCGTTTTGCGTCTTCAATAGCGCGATTTAACTTACCCGTAACGCCATCTATTGACAAACTATTACAACTAAGCTAATTAGACATTCCGCCCACCAAGAACTCCGTTCTTATAACAATTACTAAAATAATCTTACATCAACAATTATCCTACAACTTACTAAAGTAAACAATAAAGATGCTCTATATTAAACTCCCAGTTATCATTAGCTGCACATCGATTTACATTATTAATAAATTTAATGTTTACAACAACAAAATAAAAAAAATCTCTAGCACCGCCCACCGTGCTAATCCGATATGCATGTATGCAAACAAAAAATAGGAATAAATGTAATCTAAAAATCTAAAAAAAAACAACAATAACATAACAATCAATCTACTACTAACTAAATAGAACCATCTGTTGGTAGAAAACATAGTTTATTACAGGGCCGTTTAAACATACCCTTTTGTGTGTCAATAGTTACAACTCTAACAATATTATCTATACCTGGGTGAGTTTTAACAATTTTACCTAAGAGCCATTTGGCTGGAGGTATATTGTCCTCTTTTATAATCACAATATCACCTATCTTAGGTCCAACCTTATGGGTTGTCCATTTGTATCTATTGTTAAGTGTCACTAAATACTCAGTACTCCACCGAGCCCAAAAATGTCTGACCATTTTGTTACATATTTGCCACCTATCTTGAAGATTAACAACATTGTCATCTTTATGTAAAACGTTTAACAAGGCTTCTCCTACCAAAAAATGGCCTGGTGTCAGCGGGAGAGGGTCGTTAGGATCGTTGCTTAATATAGTTAATGGACGCGAGTTAACGCACGCTTCAACCTCTGCTAACACCGTGGACAACTCTTCGTAGGTAAGTGTACTCTCACCAATAACTTTTCTTAAATGTGATTTGACAGAACGCACTCCGGCTTCCCATAATCCACCAAAGTTCGGTGCTTGAGGGGGAATGAAGTGCCAATTTGTATTTTTAAGTGCGAGAGCTTCAGCAATATCTTGAGTGAATTGTGATTTAGCACTGTTAAACAAGACTCGTAATAATTTGTCAGCACCAACGAAATTTGTGCCATTATCGCTATACAAATCTTGGCAATGGCCTCTTCTAGATGTAAAACGTTTGAACGCAGCAAGAAAACCTTTTGATGTTAAGTCTGTTACTGCCTCAATGTGAATTGCTCTCGTCACCATACATATGAATAGACATATATATCCTTTAAAAGATTTCGAACCTCTTCCAGGTGAGAATCTAATATTAATGGGTCCCGCATAATCGACTCCGGATGATTTGAATGGTTTACTTGGCGTAAGCCGTACTTCAGGCAGTTGACCCATTAATTGAGTAGTTTTGGTGTTCGAATATCTTCGACACGTTAAACATGTTCTGTAGTATTTTTTGACTCGTTCTCGTCCACGTAAAATCCAGTATTTTGAGCGAAGATAGTTTAACATAATTTGAGGTCCACCATGTAATGTTTTGTAGTGTGCATCCGTTATTAACAACCGTGTAAGATGACTCTTAGAAGGTATAATGATTGGATGGCGTTCATCATAACTCAAGTGTGCTTGGTCAATGCGACCACCCACTCTTAAAATGCCGTTTTGATCCAAAAGCGGATAAAGAGTGTGAAGTGCGCTCTTCTTGGTGACACAACTTTTATTTTTTAGATGTCTCATCTCTTCTCTAAAATGAAATTCCTGTACTTGTTTTATACACATCTGTAAAACACTGTTCATTTCTTGAATAGTAATGTATTTGGGTAATTTATCACGTTCTTCCTTAGGTTTTCTCCAATATAAAATTCTTTTGCAATATGAAATAACTCTTAACATTCGATTTAGATTTGAAAATTTAGTCCACTCAAATTCTTCATTTTTGTCTTGTATAATGTTCATTGATTTAATCTTTTGTTCTTCTTCTGTTTCAGGTATCTCGTCGTGTTTTCTTTTCAGGTTTACATCATATATCCAGTTGGGTCCATGCCACCATAAAGCATTCTCTTGTAATTCTATAGGTCGTAAGCCGCGTGAGGCGCAATCTGCAGGATTCATATCCGTTGTTACATGACTCCATTGTTCATAGTCTAATATGGTTAATATCTCCGATACTCTGTTGCTCACAAATGTAGTCCATCGCGAAGCACCTCCTTTCAGCCACGCCAGCACTATTGTAGAGTCTGTCCAAGCATAAAGTTGTTGTTTAGGAATATTCATTACTTGAGAAATTTCAGATAATAGTTTAGCCGCTAAAGCTGCGCCACATAATTCCAGCCTGGGCACTGAAAGTTCCTTTTCTATTGGAGCTACTTTTGTTTTCGCCGACACAATGGATGAGTGTACTTGGTTAAATTGGTCCACAACTCGAAGATACACTACTGCCGCATAACCAGAAGTAGATGCATCCGAAAATGCGTGTAGTTCCAGTCTGCATCCTTTTGTACATTTTAACCATCTCGAAACACTTATAGCCTTCGTTTCTGTCAGTTCATGTCTGTATCTCAACCATTCTTCTAATAACTCCTCGGGTAATTCATCGTCCCAACCTAACTGTGCTTTCCATATCTTTTGTATAATAATCTTGGCCCGAATTACTACTGGAGCAATCCATCCTAGGGGATCATACAGTCTAGCGATGTCTGACAACATTTGCCGTTTCGTAACAGCTCCTTTTATCTCGGGTAAGTCAATCATATATTCGAAACTGTCTGTTAGTCTATTCCAACAAATTCCTAACACCTTCAACATGTTGTCGCTCTTTATTGGTACTGATATCTCTATGCTATGTTTGTCTTGTCCTATGTATTGTAATAACTGTTTACTATTGCTGGACCACTTCTGTAGTTGAAAGCCTCCACTGTTCATAAGTAAATTCATTTCTTCGTAAATATTTATAGCCTCGTTTTCTGTGTCACAGCCCGTCATTAAATCATCTACGTAATAATCATTTTTTGTTATTTCAGCTGCAATTGGATACTTCGTCTTCTCTTCATCAGCGAGTCTCTGTAATGATTTAATTGCTAAGTATGGAGCACAAGCAGTTCCAAAGGTAAGAGTAATTAGTCTGTAGTGTTGGATTGGCATATCTGGGTTTGATCTCCACAAAATCCGTTGGAAATTAGCGTCATCTTTATGTACAAGAACTTGTCGGTACATTTTGACAATATCAGCTATAATACATATAGGATGTGTACGCCAGCGCATTAAAATGTGTCTCAGATCCTGCTGAATTTTGGGTCCAACCATCAATTCATCATTAAGTGAAACACCGTTGTTACCTTTTGAAGATGCGTTCATGACGACGCGTACTTTTGTCGTTTCTTTGTCATTTCTAACAACAGCGTGGTGGGGAAGGTAAGTAGCTCGTGGATTCTCCAGATCGTCGTGTGGCACAAGCTCCATGTGGTTTAAGGTAAGGTATTCCTCCATTACTTTTTCGTATTCTTCTCTCAAATTTATATCGTTTTGTAGTCTCTTCTCTAAATATAATAGTTTTCTTTCCGCTATCTTCTTTGAATCTCCGTATTGACATCTGGGATCTTCTACTTTAAAAGGTAACCGTACTATAAATCTTCCGTTCTCATTTCTGGTGGTAGTTCTCTCGTAAAATTTCTCACACTCCTCTTCTTCTACTGTAAGTTTCTTCTTGATTAAATCGGGCTCCGCTTCAATTTCCCAAAATTTTCTCAATACATCATCACTTCTCATTTGTATGTGCATGTTTATTATACTCTTTCTGTGTAGTGAATCTCTTGGTATTCTTCCAGATAGTACCCATCCGAAGCCGTAAGTTGTGCAATTAAATTGCCCTCTGGGTGTTTCACCATATTATTTTGTAAAATCTCACTGTAAACATCTGCGCCTAAAAGGATATCTATTTTCCCTGGTGTGGCGTAACCTGGATCGGCTAACTGAAGTTGCTCCAAGTGTACCCATTTAGGAGCGCATAGTTTTGTCCCCTGGAAGTAACGACGTTAGTACTCCTAAAACGTACGCATTTACACGGTATTTAGCATTTGGATTATAGCGTGACTCTAATAATAACGAAACCGAATATTTAATTCTTGTTTGCCCGTCTCCCAAGCCTGACACCACACCACTTACTGGTATTCGTTTAAGATTAAGTAATTGTACAGTCGATTCGCTTATAAAAGACGCTTGTGATCCTTGATCCAGTAGCGCGCGTATGTGATATTTTTCTCCAGTTGTAGAGTGTGCGTTAATAATAGCTGTGGCCAATAGTACATTATGACTCTGTAGTCCTTGCGCAAAGTGAGCCACAATTCTTGTCTCAGTGTTACTCTTGTCACTCTTTTGTATGTGTATTTCTCCCTCGTTAGTGTTACTCTCTTGGTGTATAGACCCATCCTTCTCAATATGTAGCATCGTATGATGTTTCTTGCCACACTTCCTGCAGCTCGTATTTTGACGACATTTATTTACTATGTGATTTGGACACATACAGTTAAAACATAGTCTTTTATGCTGTACGAAATCAATTCTCTCTTTTATTGGTTTTTGCTCAAACTTCTGGCAGTGATATATGTAATGTGACCCGTTACATAAAGCACAATTATTATTTGAGGATTTGGTAACCTCTTGCACTGCTGAATGAAATGCTTTGGGTTTTGAAAATTGGTTTATCTTGTTAGAAACTGAAGACTTCACAAATTGTTTGCAAGGGTCAATCATTTCAATACTGCGGAATCTACTCTCTAAGAATTCAGTAAGTTGTGCCCATGTCGGTAAATCAGTTGTTGAACTTAACATTTGTTCCCATAATTTATGTGATTCTTTGTCCAATTTAGATACAACTAGGTAAACAATGAAAGCGTCGCATGATTTCGTATCAATTCCTATGTTCTCTAGTGATTGTAAGCATGACGTCGTGGTATCAAGTAGTTGCTTTAACAAATTTGCTGATGCAAATGTGAGTGTTTTTTGTGCAAATAAAGTTTTAAGTATAGCGTTAGCGTTATATCTTTTATTGTTATAACGCTTCACTAGCTGTTTCCAAGCTTCCTCATAATTTTGTTCAGTAATAGCAAAGTTGCGTAGTAATGTCTCTGGTTCGCCTGTCAAGTTAGCTTTTAAGTAATGCAACTTTTGTACGTTGGATAGCGAAGTATTATCGTGAATCAATGAAACGAACATGTCATAGAAACTCTGCCATTCTTCGTATTTACCGTTAAATATGGGTAATTGAATGCGTGGAAGTGGTATTTCTGAAGTTTTCATGGTCTCAGGTGTTAACGCATATGAACTCGTAGGTTTGGTAGCTTTCGCCCCAAGGGCAGACTTTAATGCAGTTTTGTATGTAGTGTATTGTTCTTCAAACAAATCATATACGTCACTCGTAAAGTATGTTAATGTTTCTTTGCTGCTCTTCGACACAGTGGAAATTAATTTTTTGTGTCCTTCCTTAAACTCATTCCAAAGTTCTTCTAAGGTCTGTAATCTTGTTTCTATATAAGCAGTAGTTAATCTCTCTTTTGGTGACTTTTTATAATTTATTTCGGCCTTTTGTAGTCTTTCATATAATTCGGTTTGTATAATAAGTATTTCGTTAGCCATTGTGAAGTTGTTTAATTCACTATATTAATGTGTTGATAATTAAAATCTCTCATGTAGTTTGTTCGCAAAAATTCTGCAAGTCCAAGAAACACTTCAATATAAACACAAAAAATTAACAAGTCCCAAAAGCAAACAAAATTGTCTAAGCTCATGTAGTGTAAACGTGAAATTTTACAAGTCCAAAAGTAAGCAAATTTTTCTAAGTCCATATAATGTAAACGCAAAATTTTACAAGTCCAAAAGTAAGCCAATTTTTCTAAGTCCATATAATGTAAACGCAAAATTTTACAAGTCCAAAAGTGAGCTAATTTTTCTAAGTCCAGTAAAGTAAAGAATATAAAATTTTACAAGTCCACAAATCATTAATTTTTCTAAGTGTTTTAAAGTTATTTTATGTAAATTTAACAAGTCCCACAATCACTGAATTTAGTTTATCTTAATATTTCACTTCACTGCACTATGTCTATTACTCACGGTTTTACAAGTCCAAGTCCTTTCAATCCCTGGTTTCGGCACCATGTAAAAAGCGGTCACTATCGGGATCCAACACAAATAAAACACTCACTAGTACTGTAACACTAACCACTGTATTAATCTCGTTTTAAAACAAACTCAAAAACAATATTCTATTGACTCGGGTCATAAAATCGTTTTGCGTCTTCAATAGCGCGATTTAACTTACCCGTAACGCCATCTATTGACAAACTATTACAACTAAGCTAATTAGACATAAATAAAGATATTAATTATACTTATTTATTAAAGGTACCTACGTATATTAAGCTTTTAATTATTTATAGTATAAATATTATGTGGAAAAATAAAATTTACATCTGGATAAATATACTTTTAATTATCCTTCTATTAGACGTTGAATGTGTCTAAGTCAAATCAATTAACATGTTACCTCTTGAATTTGGGAGTATTAGATGGTGTAAGCCACAAGGGGAATAGGTCTGGTCGGTACGTCACTTATCACATTGTCTAAAGTGTCCGATAAAATAGTATGTTAAATGAAATTTTGTACTTGAGAGATAATGAAATCATTGATTTTATTTACTTTATTAACTATACACTTTTAGGTAATTTTAAGGTATATTATGTCCATGATATCGCTTTTCAATCACGATAAGATATTAATATAAAAATTATATATTATGTAACTTAGTACGTGTGTTTGTTTTTATATTTAAAGCTCAGACTAACAATAGATTGAGCCTGCCAAAATTAAAATCAAAGACAAAAATAGTACCATAATTTGCTGTTAGGTTCACAGTGCGAAGATAAAAAGTTCACAGATTTTCCGAAATGATGTTGTGTTCAATTTGAAGTCCATACTTAGGTTTTGTCATGTTTGTTTTGTAGGACATTTGCATAAGCAAATGTATTATTACCAATTCCAACACTTGCGTAACCTTAAAATGTAAGACAGGAGATTTTAAATTACGACTGCCTCGGTCTAAAACCGACTGCCATTTTGAGTAAACATTACTTTTTCTCTTCTTTTTGTAAACAAATATAACATATACATCCTCAAGTAAAAATACATTATATAGTATACTAGCATTACCCGCGACTCCACCTGCGTTTAGATGACCAAAAACCAAATTCTTAGTTTTTACATATTAGTATACTCTTAAAATGCAGTTTGGAAAATCTTATTGAAACAAACATTATTATCAATACAGAGGCCGAATCTATAGTTTTTAGAATTTATGTCTGTCTGTCTGTCTATCTGTCTGTCTGTTACCGCATCACAGAAAAACTACTGGAGAAATTTCTATGAAATTGGGTATGGTGATATCTGGTTATCCTGGTCAACATATAAGGTACTTTTTCCCCGGGAAAATATCTCATTTCTGAGAAAAAATACAAAAACTGCAATGTGAAACCTAAGAATTTAGTGTTTGGTCATCTGAACGCGGGCGGAGCCGCGGGTAATCCTGGTCTAAAATATTACTTAAAGTAGATTATGTCCAGAAATTCACTTTAAAACATATTATTTTGGCGAAAAGAAAAGACGTAGTATCTTATTACTCTATCCACTTTTATGATCGCTGTTAAGGCCTTACATCGTAAAACCAAAAACCTAATATAGCCAGCTTCAGTTAGTTTCAAATAACAAATTTTCAAGTAACTTTATTACGGCATCTCTATATTTTATAAAATAAGCCAAGGCTGCACGAAGAGGACTAGTTTTGATACCATTTTTAAAATGAAGTTGGTTTATTGCTGGCTTAAGGTGGAGTTTTACTGGATTAGGTAGCGTTGCTTACATATTAGCGAAGACATTATACCTTATTAGATATTTTATAAAGTTTTATATCATAATAAAAATATATATTAAGACCTAATCATAATATAGCTAGGCATGAAATCCTTACATAATATGATATATCCCTTTGTCAGTCTGTTTGTACGCTTTTAACTGTATGTTATTTGATAGTTTATCATTTTCTAGCAGAAAGTTTCTTCTGGAAAAAGTTGTTAGAGACGGGTAAAATATAGTTAAGGCATGTGTACGTGGCAATATAAAATTCTAATTGAGTCTAATCTATACATAAAATATTTTTTGAAAAATCTTATTGAATTGAATGTTATTAATAGTCATGATTATCGATACAGATTCCAAATCTATATTTTTTACAATTTTTGTCTATCTTGTCTGTCTGCTTGTCTATCAGGGAACGCATCACGTTCAAACCACTAAACAGATTTTGATCAAATTTGTTATGGTGATAGCTGGCTAATCGGGTCAACATAAAGGATACTTTTTACTGCGGGAAATTATCTCATCTCTGAGAAGTCTACACTAAATGTTAAAACGTAACTAGGGACGAACCCGAGCGGAGCGAAGGTGAATCGCTAGTATTTTATAAATTCAAGGCAAATTATTTATTTCTTCACTTTAGATTCGTTAAGTTGATGTACTACTTTGTATGTGATCGATGAAATAGAAAAAATATAAGTCTATACTGTAGCTTTAACATTTAATTAGATGGGCGGACACCACAGCTTAAGATCCATTATATGGCACGCCACAGTCTTTATACGGCACTTTAACCATGTATGTACACTATATTTTTTATACTTTAGACGTAAAAAGGAAGTAAAATTAAAAATACTTATGTCTATTTTTTGATCGAAATTGTTATTTTTATTATATTATTTATCGCCATCATTTTACATTACATTATTAGGTATATAAGTACCCTTTTATCTATATCATATATATACATATATATCACGCCATCACGTGAAAGTTACTGAACGTATCGGTTTGGAACTTTGACCAATCGACACAGAATCGTCTGTAGATGGTTTAAGGCTATTCATTTTTTTGAATTTCATACACTATTGACCATTCTTTTTTGCATTTACTATCATACATATTTCTTCGCGACACTAAAAAAAGTTACATTTTTTTATTTGTTTTTTTTTATTGAACCTAAAAAACCTAAGTATACATCTAAGATCTCTAAAACCCAAAAGAAACATTTACATACCCCCAGCAAAGCGGGAGAGTGGTGGCTAGTTATATATGACTTATATCTTGGATTTACATATATACTTGACGAAGGAGGCTTAATTACCTTTTTCTGCTATAAAACCTTATTATTGTTAAAAGTCACTATGTTATTTAGTTTAGTTTTTATTGCTTTTAAAGTGATTTTAAATTTAGAGCATAGACCACGTCTCGAGCGGGGTCGAGACGCTATCACGACATTCAATGGATATACGTGGTTTAGTAAAGTTGGCTGATCACGGTGGATCATAGAGAGTTAAATATGCTTTGATATTATAATATTTGAAAGTCAATGATCCTGTGAACCCGGTGCTCCGCTAAATTATTAGAATTACCGTTTCAAGCTTATAACATTGTGATTTCCCTGATTAAACTTTGTATTGAGCTTTGTATACTTTATTATTTGAGCCCTGATAACGCCCACAAGATTAGTAACTACTAAACATGATGTTCGGTAGAATATGGATAACACGACATACTTATTATTTCTTTGTATTATAACATTTTATCTACCACGTGAGTGAAACCGTGGACAAATACTAGTAAAGCAATAAAAATAATAAAAATATTTAGTTTTACTTTAATCCAAAAATAATTCGTATCTTATTGGAAAATTCAATCTAACAAATGGAAACAGTTTTAATCAGATAAAAGCAAAAGATTAAATAAA